ACAATTTATTTTTCGGTTACAATTATCAAACTAAATAGTCATTTATTATTTCTTAATCTCAGATTACAAAATTTTATAGGTCATAACTTATTTACAATCACAAATTATCAAATTAATATGTCACGTGTTATTTCTCAATGACAATCCAAAAAATTCCTTGTTACAACTTATTTTACAGTCACAAAATATCAAATTAAATGGTCATATATTATTTCTCGATTATAGATCACAACTTATTCTACATTGACAAATTATCAAATTAATTAGCTACAACTTAACTATTTCATTGGTCACAATCACCCAAATAATTGGTCACATATTATTTATTAATTACAAATTTATCATTTTATTGATCACAGACACCCACCTAATTGGTCACAAACACTCTTTATTCCATCCCATTTCATTCCATTCCACCCTGCTTCAACCCAAATTAATAGGGTGCACATTTTTATTTTTTAAACTTATTCTCATCACAGTGAAATAATGCAATATGAGAGGACATAATCTCATATTGAAGCACACCTCTATAAATCTTGTTTACTCTTGTGTGTTTATTTTCATTCTACAATTTTATTTTTCTCGATACTGTATAATATGATTTCTAATTCTCAACACTATGATGGTATATTGAGCAAGATTTAAGTATTAACTAAGAGGATATTTGTTAATCAATCGAGAGAGGCTCCTTTGATTGGTATACACGTCCACTCATAACTAAAACATCCAAAAAAATCTAATAGAAGAACGTATCTAAATGTGTTCAAGTGTTCGACATAGCTATTATGTTAAGGCTGTGAGTCAAAATAGGGGAAACACTTAGTCCAATTGTTTGAGCCCCATTCTTTCCAAGAAAATATATTTTAAAACAGTGTTTTGGCATCATTTCAACCACACGTTTTTCAATAAAATAATATTACACGTAAATTCAAAACTTTTACTTACTTTTTAACCATACATTTTTATCAATACACTATTCAAAAATTCATTTTCTCCTAAAAAATGAGGCTCAAACTAAATTCCTCTCACATTTTTTCATATTATTCAGACTTGTGTACACAAAGTAAATACACTTATTTCCACGCAAAACTGTACGAGAATTCTTCGGAAAAATTCAGGTGGACCCTTGAAGCCTTTATGTGAAGTTATTTTCAGACAAATCTGTATATATTTAATGCTTCACAGAGGGGTACTGTACTGGTAATTGGGATGAAAGAGCTAAGAGCATATTTTCTTGATGGCTGCATGCTTCATTCCATTTTGGTGTATTTATTCAATCAAATTTCTATACTGAGGAAAACACAGGGACCCAAGTGCGAGGATAATATTCTTTGTTATTCTGACTCTTGCCATTGAGTTCTGTTCATTGTCCTTTGATTGCGTTTATTGCATCATTATTGTATAATGTCTATTGGTAATTTTCATATTTTAGATTTCTAAAATACTCAAAACGTGTTTGGTACTTTATTTTCAAAAATGAGCTTTTGAAAATAAGGAACATAAAATTTAAAATGACTTTTTGATGTTTTCATTAAAAAATCAAAACAAGAAAAATAAACATAAAATTTTTTCAAATTAAAATAATTAATAAAATCACACAAAATCTGCCCAAATACAAATATGTCTCTCTATCGTCCAAAGCTCTTCGAAGAGGCCCAATGGAGAATCCATCTCTCTGATGTTGTCTCTCAATCTTACAATAATTCTTTTTTTTTTTTACCAACTTTAAAATTTATATATATATATATATTTTTTATCACGTATTAGCATAAAATTGATATAAGTTATTAAATAATCAAATTAATTGAAAATAAATGACGTAAAACTATTTCTAAAATTTTTAAACCAAGCATGTTTTATAGTTTTTTGTTTTGAGAAACAGTTTTTCAAAATAACAAATCAAACACATTTTCTGTAATTTTAAAATAATTCTTCAAAAGGGAAAACAGAAAATGAATTTAAAAAATGAAAACAGGAAACGAAAACGCAAACAAAAAACACTCAAATTTTCTTATGATTTCATGTCAGAGCACGTTTTGTTGGGTTTATTATTGTGCCCTAACTGAATAAAATTTTTGAATTTTATTTTAAACGAAAGACTTATAAAATCATATAAAAAAGTTTTAAAATGAAAGTCCATGAAATCTACAAAAGTCATCACTTAAAAAAATAAAAAGAATAAAAAACTCTATAAAAGTATTCAAAAGTCTTAATTGAATACACATTCTTTGGTCTTTATTATGTTATTACACTTGTGGACATAAAATTCTTCAATCCTGTCCTGTCCAGCCCCACAGAGGAAGGACAGGGAAAATGATCTCTGCCCAAACCCACCTTGATTCTTATTTTTTGTGTCTAAATTTGAATTATAATTAAAAAATAAATAACAAAATGGGACTATCACGAGGATGTTTTAATCTCCACCCCCAGGGCATATCTCCTAGTGGCAAAGTGGAGGGCTGATAGGGCTCAGCGCGGCAGTGTGCAGAGTTCGATTCCCCGCAAAGTGAAATTGACTTTGTTGCAAGCGGGAGTTACCATATGGGTTAACAGCCTTGGTCTATCCATGTGCTCTCCACCCTGACTCCTGGGAGGCACATCCTGCGATTTACCTCCTCCACAATGGCTCAGGGCAGGGTCGGTGGAGGCCTTTAAGGTTGGGGTTCAACCTTTTACACTGTCAATTATTATTCAATCTTTATTATCACAATCGCTGGTTAAAATTAGACTCACAACTTCGTCAAGTTTCCCATACTGAAAAATTAGGTAGTTGTATATATATTTTTTATTATTAACGTTTTTACTTATGAAAATCAAGACCAATTAATCTTATCATAAAGAACAATTTTATCATAAATCTTCAATAAAGAAAAATTTTCATGAAAAACCATCTCTCCTCTCACAACGTTTCAGAAAATAAAGAACAATTTTATGCAAGTGGACCAGTTTTATAATTTAATAATTTATAATTTTTTTTTATTGTTAAGTCATGATTCTTTTTATCATTTTGTATTTAATTGGAGTTTTATTTTAATTAAGAGTTTAATCAAAATAGATAAGTTTTCTAGAGTTCAATTTTATTTTCATTTAGGAGTTTTTTCAAAATCAAAAAGTTTTCTAGAGTTTGTTTTGCTTTTAAAGTCTAGTTAGGAGTTTGTATAAATGGGGTGTTATGATTGTGTTTTAGCCTTTAGGGTATTTTATTTTTAACATCGAATAGAAATTTTAAGATTTTTTTTTTTTTATCAATTATTCACTTAACTAATTTTGTTTTTTGTTTTTGTTTTTAAAAGAAAAAGTAACATATTCATGCATCAAATTTTTTTTTTTTTTAACCCTTATCTAAATGACTTTTATTGATGAACCCTCACTTGTGGCGAAGGAATACCGTAGTTACATAAAATTAGCAAAACACCATCCACATCAAAGTAAGCCAAATTACTTGTAATCTAGAACAACATTGGAAGATTTGAAGACAAACTGTGAGGAGAAAAGCCACGAAAATTGGGGATGCTCAATTTATCCATTCGCAAAGCTCCTCTAACTGATGATGGGATTGTGATAGAGTCCATCCAGATATGTGAAACACAAGACACTCCCAATTTCGACAGGATATCAGCTACCAAGTTACCCTCCTGATATATGTGTTGGATTCTACAAGAGATTATAGACAGCAAGTATTGTATCTCTTCCCAGTAATCTTCTAGATACCAAATACCACAAACCTTTCTCTTTACACAATTAAAGATAATCAATGAATCTATCTCCACTTCAAGACGGTTAATCCCCATCATTTTAGCATGTCGAAGCCCATATAATAATGCTAATAGCCCAACTCCATTATTAGTACCCTCACCAAGTTCCTCAGCAAAGGCTATGACAATATCACCTCTTTCATTTCGAATAATACCTCCAGCACCACAAATTTCAGGATTGCCCAGGCAATACCCATTAGTATTGAGTTTGTGCCACCCTTCCATTGGTCGTTGCCATCTCACTACTTTGAAGTTTTTCCGTTTAATTGGCTTGTCCGGGATATTAAGCTCCCTCAACACCCATTCATCTCTTCTGTTAAATGTTCTCGCTTTTTTTAGTTTTAGTCCCACCCAAAGGATCCAAACTTTAATTTTCCTCCAAGTAGCTTCTATAGATTCCCTCTTATCCTCCATCTTGGCTGAACATCGTCACAATCATAAATGCCAGCAAATAATATTAGGAATAATACCCACTAGAGTACCTTTATGTGATGTTTGTTTTGCTCTTCGGAACCATGTTTCTACGCGCTTCCTCCATCCTTGAGTCTCTATATATTGAATTCCCAGTAAGGTTGAAGCTTTTTTCCAAATTTGTTGGGCAACGTCACCCAAGGCCAATATGTGATCCAGATCCTCATATCCCCCTTGAGAGCAACACATACACTTTGATACAATAGTAATGCCTGTCTTTCGAATTTTGCCATCTACTGAGAGGCCTCCTTTCATGGCTAATCACATACTTATTGAAATCTTCTTTAGTAGTGTTGGGTGCCAAATCCATTCATGCCACTGTGATATCTGCCCCTAACGTCTAGTAGCTTCCCAAGCACTTTTTGTAGAAAATTTTCCAACCAAGTTTTCAATCCAAATCAGTTTGTCTTTACCTGTCTCATTTTTTCCCAATTTAACAAGATTTTCTCCCGCTTGATCTTTCCCAACTAACTCCTCCAAGAGTCTTTCATTCCATCCGTTGTCGGCTTTAAGATCCACTAACAACTGAACACCCAAAGGATCCATGTTTGACCATCTATCCCACCAGAACGAAACACTACCTTCTTTCACTCGCCATCTAGATCGTTTGAGAACATCTGGCATGCACTTCATAACCATCTTCTAGAATCTTGATCCTTTAGTAGCATCCACCTGAGATATATGTTTGTCTTTGATATATTTTTCCCTAAAAAATTTTGACCAAAGAGATGTTTCAGTCAAAATTTTCCAAGCAAATTTCATATTTAGTGATAGTTACACTTCATGTAAACTACGAAGTCCAGCACCACCTTCTTTAAAAGGCATACAAATTTTGTCCCATGCTACCCATTTCCTCTTAGGCTTTCCATCCGCATATCCCCAGAAGAAGTCACTAAATATTCTATTGATGACTTTTATAACCGAAAAAGGAGCTTTTATACAAGAAATCAGATGCAGAGGTATGCTTGTGAGGACATGTTTTAGAAGCAGCAGTCTAGCCTCTTTAGATAAGACTCTACTTTGCCAACCTGCCAATCTCATACGAAATTTTTCTACCACTTCCTCAAGGTCTCGAGTTCTCAATCTTCCCGTGATTATAGGAACCCCTAAATATTTGAAAGGGAATTTACCTTCAGTGAATCTAGTGAGTCGTAAGAGCATCCGTCTTCTTGATATGGTGATCTGTTTAGAGAAAAGGATGAATGTTTTATCAACACTTACAACCTATCCTGACCATTCTTCATATTTTCTGAATACTTCCTTAATAGATCTTAACAATTTTTTGCCACCATTTGGAAATATCACGATGTCATCAGCGTACAGTAGATGAGAAATTAGGGGAGCCCCCTTTGGCAAGGAAAAAGGTCTTATGCTTCCATCTTCATAATTAGCTCTTAACATTTTGGATAAAACTTCTTCAACCACGATAAAGAGATACGGGGATAGTGGATCCCCTTATCTCAAACCTCTTCCACCTTTGAAGAAACCTTTCATAGTTCCATTCATCATCACAAAATACCAAGGAGAAGTTACACACTGTCTTACCAGATCACAAATCTTGCGCGAGAGACCAAAAGATCTCAAAACGTGCATAAGAAAATCCCAATCAATTCTATCATATGCTTTGGCAATATCCACTTTAAGCACAACATTTCCACCCCTTACAGGCTTGTGAAGATAATGAATCATCTCTTGAGGTAGAGTAATATTATCAAAAATACTTCTCCTTGGAATAAAAGCACCTTGCTCCATAGAAATAATTCTTGGTAGAATTAAAGATATTCTTTTAACCAAAATTTTCGACTATACTTTGTACATTACTGAGCATAGACTGATTGGTCTGGACTTGTCAAAACTCGAAGGGGAAGCTATCTTCGGAATTAGCACCACGTAGGATGAGGAGTAAAATCTTGGAATATCCGTATCTCGAAAGAAATCACACACTGCCTCCACAACATCTTCATTCACAATGTCCCAACAAGATTTATAGAAGCCAGAGTCAAATCCATCAAGCCCAGGGCTACTATCAACTGGGATAGAAAAGACTGCTTCTTTGACCTCCTGGGGGTAGGGAGCCTTCTTATTTCCTCATTCTCTGCTTCTGAAACTGTTGGTTGGATCCAGGCTAATAAGTCTGGTTGGTCTCTTCTGGTTCTAGCTCCTAATAAATTTTGAAAATAGTCAACAGCTGAGTGATGGATAGCCTTAGGATTTTCAAGCACTGACCCGTCTCTTAGTCTCATCTCCTTGACCTTGTGAAAGGTCCTACAATTAAATTGCATGAAGAATTGATTGCTTACTTCACCTTTCTCAATCCACATCTACTTTGCTATTTGTTCCAGGCGTATTCCTTCTCTCTTTTCCCAAATGTCAAGTTCTGTTTTTGTAGCAAAATATGCATTCTCAACCTCCTCCGAATGAGCCACTTGTAGGCTAGTGTCCAACTCTTCTAACTCTTTTTCTAGTCGCGGAATGTGTTCCTGCGTCTACCCAAACACTTCTTTGTTCCATTTGCGTAGTGCAGTCCTCAACCTTTCGAGTTTTCCAATTAGGCGCCATAAACCACTTCCTTCTGAGTTTTCTCCCCATACCTTAAGTACATAATCCTTAAAGCTCCCATGTGTGGTCCACATTTGTTGAAATTTAAATGATGTAGGGTCGTAGCGAACCATATGTGCCTCTAGCCAAATCAGCATTGGTGCATGGTCTGATGTGGTGCGAGCTAAATATCTCATATGAAAGTTTGGGAATTGCTCCAAACAATTAGAATCATAAAATGATCTATCCAATTTTGCCCAACTCCTAGTCTAGCCTGTGTGAGCATTACACCAAGAATAAGGTTCTCCCCCGTCAGAGTATATTTCCATCAACCCACAGTTATCAATAAATTGATTAAAATCCTCCATAGCACCCATTGGTCTAGGTCGGCCTCCAAGAGGGCAAATAATAAGCGAAGATGGTGGATGAGGAAAAATATTATTCGAGTGCGAGAGATTATTCTCTAAAGAAACTCTCAAGAAAATTTTGAAAATACATTTCAATTTTGACTGCTATTAAGGGCCATTTTGTAAATTTTACCAAAAGAAAGAGGGTAAAATGTCAACACAGCTGCACAACTTCATTATTTTAAGGTAAAAGGAGTCCTAAGTTTGATGAATGCTAATAATTCTTGCCACATTGTGTCTGTTCTCTCTTTATCAAAAAACACAGCAAATTCTCTGAACAATCAAAGATAAATTAAGAAACTGCACGAAAAACATTGAAAGATAGAGCCTTTTATCTTTCTATTCTAATTTCTCCTTCTCTCTTACTTTCTCTCTCACATTCAACGCCACAACTCAAAAGCAGTCATCATAATCACCATGTTCTCGTCTGCCCCGCCAGCATTTACTCACATTCTTCGCAGCCATCATTACGCCCACAAACTAAAATCAGCGACACTATCATTATCATCACCAAAGACAAAGAACAAGAAGAAGAAAAAGAAGGGTAATACTGAAAAGGATTTGGAAGTTGGACCTTTATCTGACGACGATGAAGAAAAAGGTACAAGAAAAACTCAAGGTTTGAAGTGAAAAAAGGGCTTTTTCTTCACTCACGAAATTCGAAGTGTTTTTCTTTATGGGGAATCAAGCATCACGGTCCGGTTTGTTTGCTAGATCAAGCAAATTAATAAGTTTCTTTCTTACTTCTCCTCTTTCTTTCCTTTTAGATCGATCTTGTTGACTAGATATTATATAAGAGAAAAGGGTTATGAATCTTGTAGACAAATTAAGAGGTCAATATTGTATGCAGGTGTGTCTGTGTCTTTCCATCAGTTTATCGAAAGAAGATCTCTCTATTTCTGGTTTGTATCTTGCTTCGTGTGGGATTTTTACTTTGTTTGGGTGTTGTCTAAGGCACATCCTTTATGGATCTGTGTCTTTTATTTGTATTATGAAAAGATTTCTTTACTTTTGGAAACCCTTTTACCTGATCTTGTTTTAGGGTTTGCCAATAATTCTTAGGGTTGATCTCTTACCATAATTTCTTAATTTAAGCCATCGAGCTACACATCATTTATATGTATAATTTGGTGTGCCCGAATGAATGCTTCGTTGATGTTCAGCTGAGTGTACGTTCATGCCTTACCAACCTTCAATTTATCATGGTTTAACAGGTTTGTTTGTTGATTTTAATGGATTAGCTGATCTTTTTGCAACTTCCACAGAAGCTTTAAACACGAGTTGGACACGTTTTGATATGCAGTATTACACAATACTGATAGTACCACGAACAAAATTTTACTGTATTTTTCTTTTTTATAATGTCAAATTCTATCTAATCTACCTACTAAACCTGTTCTTCAGTGATGTTTTTTACATTCTTTCGTATGGAAGATTTACTAACAAATTAAGTGGAAGAAGTAGTGTTGTAATTTCATTTTCTATTAACATTGCTACTCGTTTTAAGAAATTTATATATTGTTTGAGCTCGCTATTGGCTCTCTTCTGGAGCATTGATTAGTAGAGATTCTTTTTTTCTTTTGTAAACTTCTTTTCATCATAATGAATTACTTCATCAGCGGAGGAGGACAGTTTCACATTAAAGTGAACCTCTATAATTATTGCTCTCGGTAGTATATAATTATAGTTTCTAATTCTTAATTTATTTCAGTTATTTTTTCTCATCGTGACTTGTGTTTTAACGCTATTTGTATTCCTTTAGCTGGAACTACAAATGTTTTCTGCGCGTGAAATAATTGTCCATTGCCCAATTCAGTTCTTTTCTTTATACAAAGACTATAATTATTTGCAAACATGCTTGACAGCAAATGTGTTGAAATTAACTCATAAAATTCAAACTGGTATGTGTGATAGTGATAAAATTGCTACATATTTAAGTGACATTTTCTATAGACATGATCTGCGGCATAGATTTTGCATATTTCTCTTGATTTCATGACTGAATTATTTGAAGTTGATTAGACGCACAAACACATCCCAGACTTCAACATGCAGCTGATTTAGAGTGTGTTTAATTAACGCTTAAATCAAGAAAATGCAATACAAAATCTTGATGAGGCTTGTCGTGAGCATAAATAATTATGATGTTGTTTCATTTTTTATGGTTTCTTGTCACAAATTCAATGTAACCTAAAGATGGTCATATAAGGTCAAAATAGCACAATTATTACCTCCCGTTTGACCAAGCTTTTGAAATTAAAGTTAACGGCCCTATAAAATTTGTGTTTATAATATGGACAAAAATCATTGATCAAATGACATGTGTGATTAAAAATTAAATTTTACCAGCTAGTAATCTCAAAAAGGTTTTATGAAAGGGGGCTTAGAATTGTCATGTATATGTACACAGTGTTTACATATTGAAGGAAAAGATTTCACGCAGTGGTAGGAAAGTTAAATGAGTTAAGTCGAGTCAAACATTTTCGCTCTGCTTACCATGTGAGCTAACTGGCGCTCGCATAGGGGGTGAAGTGAGCCTTGGTTTGTCCCACCAACTCATTCCTTGGTAGGGTGAGCCAAGATAGCTCATAATAGAGCATTTACACTCATTGATTACGATCCGGCTAGTGAGTCAACTCGTGCTAGTCGCTTTCGCTGCTTGTCCTCTCATTTGTGGAGTATCACCCCACTTAACACCCCTACGTAGTGGAAATGATGATAGTTAAACATTAGAATTAGAGTAACAAGATAACAATATATGTCAAGAAAGTATTAGTTAATTAGGCTATTGTTATAAACTTTGGAGAAAAAGAGATGAGAATACAGAGAATTAAAGACTTGTGTATATTTTATTGGTAATTAAATTCTTAAATTTAAAGGAAGGGTTGTAGGAATACAATAAATATGTCAATTTTAAAAAACTATTGTTTGTTAGTGTGGAAAAATCTTGTCATAGTTAATAATTATTATGACAACAAAATGTTAAAAAGTAATTAATGATTGGATTTGCTCCATTATTCTAAGAGTAATTAAAAGAGAGCAACAGTAGTTTTGGTTTCTTGAGTTAGATTTTCTTGATTACAACACACTAAATCCGAACTAATTAAGAAATTTTGCGATGTTTACATACAAATATAGTCCCTTGAACAAGCTATTTATAGTAGCATGCGATACAAATGCATAAAGAATTATCTAATAACCTATTTCTAAAATCAATGAAAAGCTATATGTTTTTCATGTGACGCTGAATACGTTAAGGAAACATTATGCTCGTAACATATTTGTCCGTTGTCAAGTTCAGTTTCTCCTTTTCTTTTCTTGGAATATAATGTTAGACAAACAATAATAACATGCTTGACAGCAAATGTGTTGAAATTAATAATCTCAAATTTCAAACTGGTAAGTGTAAGTCTGATAACGTTGCTACACGGTATACAGATTTCGTGCATTGACTTAAAATTCATCTTTCGTGGCATGATTTCACTCTCTGTAGACATGATATGCGGCATAGATTTTGCATGTTTTCTTGATTTAATCACTTTGCACATTGCACTCAGACTAAATTATTTCAATTTGATTTGACAAACACACTCACAACCCCATCAATTTATCATTTTTTTGGGTTCTTGTCAGAAATTCAATGTAATAAGGTGGACATACTACTGTTTTAGCACAGTTATTAGATTTCTTGTGTTTTACAACTGGGACAGTGAGACTATCACTGTGAAAGGAAGTAGCCGTGAGGTCACGAGAATCAAAAGCAAAATCTTGGTCAATTTAAAGCATCCCCACATCCGGGTTCGATCT